ATCTGTTGCAGACGCTTTCCAAGAGCTGACGCCAACTCCAATGGGAGCGCTTACTTCAAGAGTCAAAACTTGATTCTCTTGTGCCACGCGCACATGCTATACATGCCAGCATAGGACGCATGAAAGAAAATTTTCATCAAATTTTCTGCATATTCATCAAAATTTGTTTGTTTTTGTTTAAGTGGATTTCGCTCATGCCTCGGCTCATATCTACTTGGCTCTTTTTTGTTGTTTGTTTATATTTTCATATAATTTTTATTGCTTCATTTTTTTTATTTTTATTTTTATTAAATTTTTTTTTTTGGAACAGCGAATGTGGCAAGTGCGCGCTGATGACGCATAATACTCTAGTGGCTGTGAATAGGTATTCCATTCGTTCGCAGTTTTTTATTATTCGGGATACGCCGAACTACTTAAAACTTTTCATACTCCTGTGTATCTCGTATGTGGTTATTCGAATATGAATAGCGGATTAAATGCTGCATATATTTTCAACATTACGACTTTCATTTTTTTACGGCTTTCAATGATTTTAATGTAATATATCTGAAAATACGAAATTCCGCGAAAATTTATGATATCTGAAGGCAAACTTTTATATTTTGAAATAGCCAATCAAATAAACTCATGAGAAAGAATTATAAAATTATTATAAAATTCAATCCGCAATAAATTTCTATGTTTTCTAAACAACTTTTCACAAGTCAATAAAACTAAATACAAACTACAAATAGCTTTGCTTTGTGATTTTTGGTTGTAAACAACAATTACGTATATTTTGCTATACGCAAAATGTTGAATTTACAAAAGAGTTTTAAATTCGGTTCCGAAACAATAAATAGCAAAATGTTAAGGTTTTTCTTCTTTTTTTTTGATGCTTGGATTATATTCTTTAAGCTCTGAGCTTCTTAGACTCAATGCCAACAGCAAGAACCGAACAATAGCAATAGCTTACACATAAAAAATGAGAATGGCAAGGGGAGTAGCAGTTGGGGTTTGGGTCGAAGTTGTGGTTGTTCCGAGGTTTTATGTGTGAGCACAAATTAAAAAGCTAACCGCAAAACTGCAGGACTTCAGGCTGTCAGACAAAGAACATGGGGAGTTCAGTGCAAAATACTTCAGCATACAGTGCATATAATTTGCAAAAACAAAAACTGCATAGAATAACAGCAACAACAACGGTCGCTTGTTGGTCATGCAAATAAAATAATTATTTTAAATTGCTAGCAAAAATATTTAAGCATTTGTAATTGGCAGCAGGCATAACAACAACATCAACAATAACAACAAACGGGTAACTCATTCCCTTTGCTGTTGTTGTTGTGTTTTTCGTATTTTTATAACATTTTTTTTAGCCAGACGCTAAAAAGTGTGCTCCGATTTCACTTCAAACTCACGCCAACCGCCCCACAACAACAGCCGCCGCCATTGTCTGGCCGCATTAGCTCTTGGACCAGTGAGCCAGCAGCATCACCAACAACAACAATAACGACACCAACAACTGCAACAACACAAGCATAACAAAACATTTCACATCCTATGCCGGTGAGAACTTAATGAAAAGAAGAAAAAAAAAAAGCGGTGGAGAAAAAACATTAACAAAGGCGAAGCGACAAAGAACTTTGTGGAGAGGTGGCAACGCTGGCAGCTGAGCTGAGCAGAGCTCAAGCTGGGGGATTTGGCTGGGTGTATTTCTTGAGAACGGTAACGCATTCAACAGCTTGGAAGTAATAGACCCAAACAAAAACACAACTCAACACTGTCAACAATTGTCCACAAAAAAAAAACAAAAAAAAAAACAAGGAAGAAAGAAAACACCAAATAGGGAATTTGTGCGGGGAGAATAGTAAATAAAAATGAAAAAGTAACGGAAGTAATATACTGAAGTTAAAATACTCTGGCTAATTTATTATTAAATTTACTGAAAAATAAGATCATTTTATTTTAATTAATGGTTGAGTTTGTTCAAAATTTCTGTAGAACCAAATAATTTATTTCAATGACTAATATATCAAGTGCTTAATTATGATAACAAAATATAAATACAACATATGGCAACTTGTATACCTTATAAAGTTTAAAAATCTGCTTCAATACGTCACACAATGCTTAACAGAATAATAATGCCCACTGCCAGAGTATCTTACGAGTTGTCGAGAGCAGCTTCTTCAGATTATTTAACGAGCTGGAGCACAAAATATGTGTGCTTGACTTTAAAAGGAAAAGTTCCCTAAATTAATTGTTTCTGGCACATTTACTTAATTGGGATTTCTATTTTTAGAATCTTTGACACGTATATTTTAAATCAATTGCATTAACGTAACCCAAAGTCCCAAAGTTTTCAGCTCTCAATATTTCAATCAATCAAAGAGATTTTTTTTTTGTTTTAGCATTCCAAGGACCATGATATTGAATACCATCAATAACAATAATTTTCATAAATATGATAAGACATAAATCACAAAAGTAGCAGGCGCCACAAAGTGCCACGACCAGAATCAGGTCTAGGAACTGGGTGCTGCAACCAGAACAGGATTTCAGCTGCCACTTGGTCATGCGAGGCACGCGCGCGCATAGCGCTGGTGCGTCGGCTGGCGGGAATTGCAAGGGGGGTAGGGGGACAAGAGCCAAGGCTTGCTAAGCAGCAGACCTCATATACCCAACACGAACGGAAGAGGGGAGCGGGACAGGGAACACAGGACGCGGGACGTCTGGTGACGCCGTCACGCGGCGCTGTCATAGCGCAATAAAAATAAAAATCTAATTAGTATGCCGTTGACAGTTTAATCGTGATTACGCTGGCAAAAATTTCCACAAAACAGAAAAAACGCAACGAGCGAACAACAAAGCGGAAGAGGAAGAGGGCAGCAAAGTGGGGATGTGGGTAGAGGCAGGGGCGCAAAAAGAATCGTCAACATGCCAACAGTTGATTTTTGTTGCTCTCCATTTTGTTGCTGTTTTTTGGACGTTGTTCTTGGCATTTCCGGCAGTCGTCGCGAACACTGCGTGCCTGCCACAACAAGTCCATGTGAGTGTGTATGTGCGTGTGTATGTGTGTGCGTGTGTGTTGGTGTGTATGTGGTCCGTGTGTCAAAAGTTTAGTTTAGCTGCAAAATGAGTAAAGGCGACGGCTATTCCATGAGGAAGGCTTAATTTAAGCAAGGAAGTTAAAGTAGAATAATTAAATAATTTGAACAATTAGAACAATTACAATAAAATAGATGACTTAAATCTTAATATATATTTGTGCTATAAGCTTAACAAATAACATAACGTTTAAGATTCGTTATTGAACGGAGAAATTCTTAAAAATATATTTTATCTATATTTTTTTTGTTCGAGTTCTTGACAAAACGCTCCAAGTACAAACGCTTCTAAAAACCTTTATGCTCGTCCGAGCAAAGATCTGTAAGTTTCTGTAGCCTGACATCGGTTTTAAACAAACATTTTGTCTTCAACATTATTGTACCAATATTTAGTCTAACACTTTTTCAAAATTCGTGAAGCAAATTTTCAAACTTATCACGTTCATAATATTATATTATATTCAAATATACATAAGTTTCAATGTAACCTCGCGTATATTTTTGTTTGCAACATACGTGCGGCACTCACTCTTTCCCTCTAGATGCCTACCGCTTCCCGTCTCCTCTATAACTAGTGCCCACTGCCCTCTCTAAGTTGGCCATTGAAATGCGTGTCTAGTGAAGGATATGCGCGACGTGATTGGAATTTTAAAACAGGCGTCAAAACTACGCTCAACTCTGTGTATTTAAGAGAGTGTGTGGGTGATTGTGTGTGTGTGTGTGTGTGTGGGTGTGTGTGTGTGAGGGCAACCTAAAAATATGACCAACTTGTGGCAACGTCACTTGCCAGCATGTCAGTCAAGAGTCAACAGAGTCAAAATCAAGCTGTTGTGTAGCTTTGCTCCAGACAGGAAACGGAAGTCGCATTGATGAATTGCCTACCGCCCACAAGCTTCAAATGCAGCACACTTGTAGATGGTGAAACGACTTTCAAGTTCAACTCAGTGTGCAACGGCTTTTCAGTTTTTTAATATAAAATGCTGAATGGGATCTGCGTTATAAAGTGGAGATTTATAAAGGAGCCGCCTCTGCATTTACGACTCTAAAACATACGTATAAAAATATTAAGCGAAAGCTTGTCGTAAAAAATGCGGAGCTAAGCCGGCCAAATATAAAACGTTATTAAAGCTAACGGAAATGCAGACAAAATGACAAGTCATTGCATCCACTTAGCCGAAAGCGTCAGACAGCGACGATGAATCATGAAGAGCGGAATAACTGAACTCAAATGAACTTTCCATGGGGTCGTTTCAGACAAACCAGCTGGAGCCTAGCTTCAAATTACAATATTTAAAAATTCAAAAATGTGCCCTGTTGGACACTGGAAATTGGCGGGTTGGTAAGTCATAAAATACGCAGACGGGAAATTAGGTATATGCCTGGGCAATGCGATTCCTAACTATCACCTGAGAACTGCAAGAAAATTTAAGAGCTCCACTCACGTAGCCCAAAGAAAAACTTATTTATTGACATGTATATTTTAATTCATATTTGTCTAACAATTTTAGAGTCTTTCAGACATAAAATATATATTTTAAATATTTGTATTGAATAATTTAATTTAATGAATAAATAATTCATATTTAAAACAAGTCTCTTTATCGAAGAGAAATAACATTCGCATTGACTATTTGGAACACCGATTAATTTGTGGCTTTCAATATTTGAACTCATTTTGCTGCACCGCACACAAAAGTTTGAGGTTGTTTATGGCATTTTTGTGGTTTATCCATTTGCCAGTGAGAGCTAAAATCGAGCAAACTGTGCAAAGTTATAAAGCGAAAGGCTGAAACCACAACATTATGAAACCACAAAAAGAGATAAGTGACCCAGAAATCCAATTACTGTATATGAGCTTTCGTGAGTTAATTGTCCGATACAATGGCACTCTGGTCACACTGTTTACACACTCACCTGGCAGTGCTGTTAGGCAGGCGATGCAAATAATGAAAGTCTTGCACAGTTTTATACTTGGCAGCTGCATCCTGTTAAAGTCGTTTAACAGATTATGCGATGATTATTTTCGTTTTTTAAAGTTTATTTGTTTTACGTTTTTTATTGTTAATTTGCCCGCACGACCTTTTTAACCGCAACGATTTGTAGCCATATATGCGAACAATATCCGTAGTTGTAACCACAGAAATCAATTTTTACATTTGCAATCTCGTGTTTAGTGTTCTTTTTTCCCGCAGTCGCAATTTCCTTTTTTTTTAATTATTATTTACTTCGTTTTTTCTGGTTGGTTTTCTATTTTGCGGTTGTACTTAATGCATATATGATATCTGAAAGCGCTTTTGTTGAATTCCGTTTTGAGCTTTGCTTCAATTGCCAGTCACAATTAGCAGTCAGCTACACAGTGCCTCACATACGATTTCGCTCACGTATTGAGTTTCCTGGGCTAGTTCCCTCTGAATTGTGTAAATACGGTTGAGGTTAGCAGAGTTGTGAGTTCTGCATTGAACTCGCTTTGGTTATTTGCATTTTTTCATATCCCTTTTGCCTTTTTTGCATTTTCATTTCCTGTTTGCACTAAAATGCACTTTATTTCGTTAAACGGGAGATTTTTTCTTGTTACTATTTTATTTTATTAAATTGATGATTTCACTTTTCTCTGTTGCCTTTTACATGCCACCTGAAATCAAATAAATAATGTATCAATTATTAGCATTATATACTTTAGGATAATAATTGTTCAAGGGTTTTATTTTATTAAAAGATGTTGTCAATTTAGAAGTATAAAATCTATTGATTAATATCGATTGGACAGATGCTTAAACGTTTGTTTGATATTAATGTTATTATATTTGAATAGTAATAATTATAAAAGTCAAATATTGGAATTATTTCATGAATGATTGATTTATGTTTATCTTTCATGTCTGATCTATCTCACACAATAAATATCCGCTGTTTGGGCATAGTGTCTAATAAAACCAATCATGGTAACAAGTCACAAGACTTAATGCCTCTTTGCCTCAACTGCGCAGAGCTACTATATCATTGGCATAGTCCTTAAGCTGCACAGGCTTTACATGTTCCAGCGAAGAAAAGGCAGCAAGAGGCAAAAAAAAAAAAAGAGTGGTAACCTCACAGTGCATTTTCCGACTGATTTGAAAACCCAAATGCTGCCCATTAGCAAACCAAATACGCACACACGAAAAGCTGATGCCGAATGCTAAAACTTCAACTCCATCACTCTGTCGCGAACCTCAAGCCCCGTTGTCCTTGCCACATTTCTAAAGGGGGTTCCCTTTTGGGCTGGGACTTTACATTTGAAATTGGCAAAATCCAAGCCATGAAATTGTACAACACGATTCTCACATATCGTACATGACACCATTTGCCAAAGATATGGCATCGACTTTGCGCATACATATATGTATGTATTTATGTATGTGTGAGTGTGTGTCTGTGCGCATATGACGCCCTAGAGTGTACCACGCCCACTGTTGGCTTCTTAACATGTCCCAGCGACTGTTGGGCTGAAATTCACTTATGGAAATCGAAGAATCTCGTTGCCGGCTTTTGTTTCCAGGCAGCAACGGTTCGCGACCGAGTCGAAAACTAAACTCATATGAAGTATCAACATTCAGTATTCAATGTAAATCCTTTAAGCTGAAAATGCGCTTGAGAGAACAACACTCACACACACACACACACTCACACACACTCACACACATACACATATACTTATAGACCTCAGATCAGAGCTTCTGATTGCAACTGTGTGAAAAGTGAAAAGTGACTGTGGGCAGGCCAAAGCTGTGGCACGTGGTGGCATGCAACGCCTTTGAATGTATGTTTTTCTTTTATATTTTATTTTTATCTTGTGTGCGACTGATTAGATTTAATGTGAAGTGCCAACTTGAGTTATTATCTATTGTAAAGTACTTGATCATTGTATATCAATTGATTTTCCATTTCAAATACTTTAAGGAGTTCTACAAATTGAAATCCGCGATTTTGACAAATGTGTGAAGCCCGTATTTAAGATTTAAAAGAAATATCGATAGAAATTATATCAATTGTAATCTGTTTTGAAATTTTCATCAAATACTTAGAGCTATATCAAGTTAATTTCTATACTTGAACAGCATTCGTTCAACATTAGTCTTACTACTCAAATCAAAGTTCGCACACAAATTTCGTGAATTGTCGTTAGGGACTGACACATACTAAGCTCGACTTCTTATATGTAGGTTTATACAAATGACTTTGCAACATCTCTCCTATTCATCAGTCACAACATTTACAAATTTCGCAACATAAAACATATTTTCTTCTGCAGCCACCAGAGATGCCGCAGCCAAATGAAAAGAGAGCAAAGTGCTTAAACTTTTTTTCATTTTTTTTTCTTTGGTTTAAACCAGAAAAAGAGGAAGAAGTAGAAGTAGAAGAAGAAAATTTGAGAGCTCAAAATTTATTTGCAAACATTTATTATAGTTACTTTGTTTTATTCTCGTAGAGTACTTTTACTTGTTACAGGGGCACTACGTGGCTATGGCCGGGAAGGACATGGCGGGGAGTTGGGATCAGGACTTACATTGCTTTTTATGCTGCATTGTTTTATAGTCATTCGTTGTTGTCATTGTCTTTGTCTGGGTAATGAAACGCACCGCAAACTTGATAAAAAGGCGACCACAAAAAGCGACTGGCGAAATGCGAATGGAAATGTAACAGACTAGGGTCTGTGTTGGCAATTGCCCCTCCACTTCCCTCTCTCCCACCACCACCCCCACGCCCACGCCTACAGGCACTGTCATCCCCTAGCGAATTAGGGGAAACAAATTAGTTTAAAGATAAGCAGGTTACAAAATATGCCAAAGCATACTTTGTGGCGGCTATCAAACAAAGTGGCGCTCTTGATTAGCCCTAAGAGGGAATATTTTTGTACATTCGCGTGGGTGTGTGTGGTGCTGGTGGTTCTGTAGGGCCATGGGTGTAGTCAGGTAGAGGAAGCGCCGCGCTGTGAGTAAACACAATCAAGCAGCAGACGTTACGTGAAAATGTTGAGCAGCTGTCGATGGAAAATGCAGCGCAAATAGCACAAAACAAACAACACAAGCGACTTGGCCCACAGCGAAGGCGAAAGAGGGAGGCACTAAGAGTGTGAGCAAGATAGCAGCGTGTCCGTAATGCGCCTTTGCCCGAGTGCACTGTAAATACCAAAGCAATTTCCACTGTAAAATTAACAAGCGCCAAACCGCAACAGACGCTGCAGCTCCAGGGGGCCATTGAGCAGAGTGGAACTGTGGGGGGGGTGGTTTAGAGGGGTCGAGGTATCTTCAGTCAACTAACGTGTAGTATGTGTGTTAGTCTTAGTTGCAAGGCAAGTGGCTGCTGCAGCACTTGGTAGCATCCGATTCGGCCTGCTCGATGGTGCAAAATACATAATAAATTCTCACTCTTAATCGTATAATATACACAAACCCTGCCCACCACGCCCATGACTTACTACAACATTTCGCTTCTTCAGTTTCATCCTTTTTTTTTAGCTCTTTTTGTTGGCCTCAAACTCACACGTATGCAATTAAGCTGCCTTGGCTTTTATGCAACTAAACGAGCCGTCTACTTAAACAGTTTTTGCTACCTTCACACACTGAGAGCCCAAATTGTGGATGCCAGTGTGTGTTTCACTGAGAGTGCTTCAAGTTCTGTAGGCTATTTGGCATGCCTGCAGATTGGGGCCTCGTCTCATAGGAGCTGCCACCGAATGACTGAAACTCTTTATAATTCTGTGAGTGAGCATCGCTTATCTAATAAAAAAAAGTTCTCTGACTAAATATACTAAGCTAAAATGCTAAATTAGATTTTCGATTACTTTGTTTTGTCAAATTTCACACTTCAAAGCTTAAAGAGAGATTGTTCAGTCATTTATAGAATGATTCCACTATCAACATATTTTCTGTCCACAAATTGAGCTTTTAGAATCAGATTATCAATAGAAATGAATAATAGATGATTGAATTTGAGTTTTCGTTAACGAACATAATTAAATTAAATATTATAGATTGATTAAGTTTAAGCAATTTATTTGCCACTTCAACTGGTCAGCAGCTACAGTAAACTGAAACCTGAAACAAACCAACGAAAATTAGGTACGTTGAAATAAAATATAAATATATTTCAATTGTTTTAAGCAGACGACAGCAAAGTGTGTATGGAGTGGAAGGCTTAGGGATTGGCAAATAAACTGAGCTTTTAAGTGGCCATCAGGCATACATCACAAACTCGCATTCAATTTTAAATTCGAAGGACACAAACGAGGAGACGCGTTCAATAAATTCGTAAAATAAAATGTGCCAATAAATTGAGTCGAAGCAGTGCGTTCAAAACTAAACTAAAGTCAAATTGAATTAAAATTCAAAGCGCTTAACGGAGAAGCAGCTAGAAAAAGACAAATATACAGAGACAAGGGGTAAGGGGGAGTGAGTGAGAAAGAGATATACAGAAAGAGAGAGAGAGAGAGAGAGAGAGAGAGAGTTGGATAAACTGAGAGAAAAAGAGAGTGCGTTGCTCTGACAGCAGCCTTCAAGTTGTCGCATTTTTCAATAAACTAAACAATTTACGAAAATTGAAGTTTATCTCAATTGTGCAGCTGTTGTTGACAACATTTTGTCCAGCAGCTAACAATGCTTTGTGCTCCCTAACAACCCTCTTTCCCTCAAATCTACCCCCATTCCCGCTCTTAGCTGCACACAGAACTCAATTTGGCAATAAACTGAGCTACTGCACACAGGCTCCGTAACATATTCCCTGTGTGCTGTCCAACACTAGAAGATTGGTAGCGCAAGCGAAAGGAGGGGGAGAGAGAAAAAGGGGGATGCTCAAATGCGCTTAGTTGCTTTATTGGTCAAGCTGTTGTGCGTGGATAAAAACCCTTTTAGTGCACAATTGCTATAAATTTGCTGCGGCCATTATAGGACAGAGCCATGGAGTGGAAGTAGCAGAGGGTTGAGGGGTTGGCGGTGAGTGGTGCTGAATTGGGATAACTCTTATACGAAATGGTTCCATTGTCATGTGTGCGAAACTGTATGTGGGGACACAACGCAAGTCGATTGACGAACGAAGCTTATTTTAATCTCATTTGACAATCCTGTCAAAAGGCTGGCAACTATTTCAGACCCCAGCAGCTGTTGTTGCCTCTTTTCAGTTTGACAAATGAACAATGTGAAAGGGTATTTTATAGGGTAACTATCCGTCTCTCTCCGTTCACTCTCTGGCTCTATCTCTATCTCTCACTTTCTCTCCGCCTCTGCTGCTCACTTCATATCATATAATTTCACCATGATTAACTTTGAAATTTGCATTTGGTTCAGTTCTCGAAATGGGCAGCTCATTTTGTTGACCCCCGCATTTAGTCCAAGTCCTTTGTTATAGGCCAAAAGTCTGAATCTACTTCAACTTCTGCTGCTGCTCCTTTTTTTACTTTGCCATGGTCAGTTCTCTTGGGTTAATTTTGTAATTTTCGCACATGGCCTTTTGGGTACTATAAAGATTATGGTCTTTGGGTTTCGGGTTATGGTTTGGGTTGCTTTGCTTCGTTTGGTTTTCGCCTAAACTTTATGAGCTCTCATGTTTAATTGGAATGGATTGTGTGCTGGGTCAATGGGACGGCATTTCCATACACAC